TTCCTACTGTACATACATCGCTTACGTGGTCCATAAAACAAACTAATGATCGAAGATAAGTACTGTAATTGGTCCGAAGAATACCAGCGGTCATTTGAGGAGGTGAAGCTGTTTTGTACCGATCTTCGGCTGACGCATTACGATCCCATGGTAACCTCGGACTCCTCTGCGAAGTCACTGTCCACAACTCCGCAGATGCTTCAGGAAAGGCAGTTACACGGGCAGCCAAATAGTTGTCACGCGCCGTACAAAGTCTCGGTCGAATAGAGAGGAAGATTTTTGACATAATCTTCACAGTAGACAAATTCCACATAATGATGTATGAAAGTTTGCTCTTCTAACTGACCATAAGCTGTTGTTGGCAGCTTTCGGATCAAGTTGGGGCATCCATATCCATACAGCGAGTACGGTGCAACGTTGGGCACCCACATTGTTCGGCTACGACTTTGTGGTGACGCATATCTTTGCAAACGACATAGGCCAAACTGCAATCAGTCCTGGCCAATGTAGACTCAATGCGTGAGTGAACCTTCTCTGTGTGCACAGCGCTGGTTCGTACAACCGAATGGCAATGGCTTCTGCGGCGTCTAATATCTGCTTACGGAAATACTTTGATTGACTTTCTGGGGTCTGATAGATTACTTTGAACCAAATAGCCGACTTGGTGGCGTGACTCGTATCCGCAAGATGCGAGGCGATGGCAGAGTTGGTGACCTTTTGGCTTCCATATCCAAAGCAGATCTGGATGGTGTTCCCTCACCCTTTCGGATAAGCGTCTTGTCGTATGACCAATGTAACCTGCTCCACAGGAACAGGTGAAGGAGTAAACACACATTGATTTGTTGTGGACAGGCAGTATATCCTTGAGGTTTAGTCTCACCATTGGGCTAGTGGTGAACCGGATTTGCATCCTCGTTGCTGAGAAGACATTCCTGAGTGTGTACGGCAGACGTTAAGCTAGATTCTGTGCTACTATTTCCCCTTTTGTAAGGCGGTTGCAGGAAAATAAGTTTCCGTTCCGCCATTATGACTGTAAGTGCCTCCTACTTTCGCCCAATATTGATATTGATGAAATTCTCTGGGTAGCCATTCTCGTTAAGTGCGTTCGTATGCGCTGTAACTTCGAAAAGGGTATTCTTCGAGCAGATTTTTTCGGCCCGGCTCACTAGACTGAGGACCAAGTTTCTCTTAATCCGACGCGGCACAAAGCTATGAAAGTTTGTGTACTGTCCACTCCAAGTGCACTTTCGGTAAACGCGACGTTCTAACGTACCACCATCAAATCTTTCTAAAGATACATCGAAAAAATGAAAAGCGCCGTTTTCTTCTACCTCGTAGGTGAAAAACTAGCAGATAATATGAACTTATTGAAAATAACTATTGAACGAGGCAAAACAAAGCAGATGGAAAATCAACTGTGCGTCTGTCTCAAAATGCTTAAGAATGGTGGTTATATCAATGAATCGGTCTATGGAAATCTGCGCTCCGTGGGCACGGTTATTCCAGGGCTTTACGACTTACACAGAAAGGATAAGCTGCCTGTGTGCACCAAATCAATGTGTGTTTACTCCTTCACCTGTTCCTGTGGAGCAGGTTACATTGGTCGCACGACAAGGCGCTTATCCGAAAGAGTGAGGCAACACCATCCGGCCTGATTTGCAAATGGAGGCCAAAAGGCCACCAACCCTGCCATCGCTTCGCATCTTGTGGATACAGGTCACGCCACCAAGTCGGATATTTGGTTCAAAGTAATCTATAAGACCCCAGAAAGTCAATCAAAGTATTTCCGTAAGCCGATATTAGACGCTGCAGAAGCCATCGCCATTCGGTTGTACGAACCAGCGCTGTGCACGCAGGAAAAGTTCACTCACGCATTTAGCCTACCTTGGCCAGGACGGACTACAGTTGACCTGTGCAAGCGCGTGACTACCATTGGAACCTGATCGACGGTTTGTCATAGCGCACTAGAATTAGTTTGGCTGACGGACGGCCTGTTGGGTCTGTGTAGAAATTTTGATTTTAATGTAATTGTAAAAGCCTGATAATAAATTATTGAAAGCATATCTTCGTTTACACTGACTTTTTATCAATCCATGCGTTTTCTCAACTCAATAGGTCTAACTGATGCTCATTCCTGTTTATGGGAAAATTAGCAGCGCCAGCGCAGGAAGAAGGCGTTATTACAGCGATCTATCTCTAGTCAGAAGTAAATCAGATATTGTTGGAAATCTTCAGAATGCTTCCGGTAGAGCTTGAAATGGTGCCTAACGCATGAGCGCGAAATCCCGTCTCATGGCAAGCTGTCAACTTCCATGCTATCTGGTGCTCCAAAATCAGCTTAGATTGTGAATTTCAAGGTCTATCCCAGAAGTAAGATGAACTATCTATCGTTGACGAATGTTTAGTTTTGGTCAGCAGCAGATTCATTGTGGACTTCTTGAAATTAACAGGCACTTATTGGTCCCAGATCACCGGATCGAGGTCTGCACGTCATTCAAAGGTCCTTAGCAATGAAGTCATGCGAGCGCGCATTTCTTTGGTCCTTTGCATGGGCAACAGTATATTGTCGCTGTTGACTTCTTCAGCAAGTTGACTGGAGTGTCTTCTTGAAACGTACAGCAAGCGGCGCAGCACTTAGCACACTGAGAAAACTTTTCCGCTGGCATGGAAACCGGAGACTTTGGTAACCGGCAGTTGCTCTCAATTCGCCTCTTCACAGTTTACTAAATGTTGTGCACTCGAGATATTACACACGGCATTGCACACCGCTCTTATCGTTTCAGTGGGCAAACAGAGCACTTTGTTGGTACGTTTAAACGGACATAACTTAAGATAAGTGGGAAGGGACTGCCCACAAGTTTCTGGATGTTTCCTTTCTGCCGTCACAGATCAATTCCAGCCCCAAGGTGCTAAACCAGCTGTCACTAGCGGAAGCGCTAATAGGTAGAAAACTCGGTACTCTGAATTCTTTACTGCTTCCACAGCGCACTGCGCCAAAAGGCATTAATGCGATAATGAAAAAGAACGCATGCACGTTGATCTTACACGGGGCAAAGAAACTGTCGCACAGGAAGGCCACAGTGGGCAACTGGTTCAATCGAGAGCAAACTTGGACACTTTCTCTATGGGGATCGAATGGGTACCGTGGTTTGGATTGGACATCCAAACCGTTTGGCAGCCAATCGGCATTTTGATAATTATCAGTGCAAGATCGTTACCACTTGACTTTCTCCTGGATAGTTTCGATGGAAACCCTAGAGCACAGTGAGGACCAAATGCACCTTGCTCAGGGGTAACAGAAGAGACGAACTTGTAGCCAAAATAATCGGATGTGGAAGCCCGTATTCAGAAAGTAGCTGGATGCTAGAAGGATGTCGGACGTCAACTTTTTCAGGGATGTTAAAGGAGCTGGATCATTTAAGCGGTTACTGGAGAAATCGCTAACGGTGGACTGACAGCACAGCGTAAACACGGTCTGGGCTGTAACAATTGCTAGTGAAATGCATAACAAATTGTATTGAAGTAACCATAGTTCTTTATTGGTAATTATAAAGCAAAATAGAAACGTATAATCTAGATAGGTGAAAATACCGCGATTGGATAGGGAGATTGTGCTGCGGATTCATTTCAGTGTGGGATCGTTCAATTGCGTAAGATATGGCGTGTTAAAACAAAATGTCCGGTTTGTTTTGCACAAATAGATGCCCATAAATATACGGAACCTTGTATGCTAAATACTAAGAAGAAAAGGGAGCGTATGCAGTGCATCTGTTCATTCACTATAAATGCGGTCATTTCCATCACTGTCCGATCAGTGCGACTACACTTTTGCACTTAAGCCATACTACTTATAAATATGTAGTAACAAAGTAATATCGATGAAATACCAATTTGCAGGACCATTCCAAACCCTCTTGCCTTGCCGGTGGCCTCAACATAGGCTTGGAGGAGCCCACATTTGCCGGGTACCATCCAACGGGGCCGCTTTTGCAGCACTTCAACTTAAACTCAGTCAGGGAGTGTTTTACCTGCTTCTGGTAGTTTTTGGTACAACGGAATCTTCTCCTAGGTTATTTCCTTGGAACCCTGCAGTCAGCCATTTGGATATAAACAACGAACGCTGTATCTTCCGACACCAATGGAAGTTTGTTTGATGCCTTTGTCCGCTGCTTTTTGGACTTGGCTAGTCCGGGATTCGAACTAACTACCGCTTATACGTACTGTCAACTGAAAGCGTTTTGGGTTTCGCATTCTGTTCCTGTGTCCGTAAACAGCTAAAAAGCACCATTACATCCAGTTGCACTGTCGGGCTTTAGTGTATCGATGCACACCGATTCGAGTTAACCTGACCCTAACATGATCGTTGTTACTTTCTCTGTGCTATTTTCCTTGATCTTACCTACCGTACCTACGGAGTCACAGTAAAGTTTGGATAACTACCCTCACAAAGGAAGGTGTATTGCGGCGAAACATCAGATGCTTTATCATGTTCTTGATGATTTTTGTTAATACACTCACGTCACCAAGTTCGGACATAGTCTGCCGAGTTGTCTGGAGAGAATGATCACGTTAGCTGTTGCTTTGGTGCTTTTCTGTTTTTATTTTTATTTAACCCTAAGGATGTCACCGTTATGATTCCGGTGGTATAGTAATTGTGAATAGGGCTACCAGTGTCTCTGTTTACTTGCTTTTCAACTGTCCGATTGCGTAGATTAAGAGGACGAACCTGTTTGTGGCTGGCATCTTGACACTAAACATAATTACCTTTTCGTTTCATGGTATCCATCGCCTTCGCGTACTTCGGTATCCATGTGTCCCAGATGTCTGGTGTCTAGTCCTGGTGCCTCTACGCTTTCTTCATCCATGCTCGTTTATGATTATGCCTATCGAGGCGTTCTTCGAGAATAAAAGTTTCTTTATTTCTCGTACATTGCATTTTACTTCGTAATCACAAGATTGGACTTCACTAAATCATCAAACGTTTCCTTTATTCTTCGCAGCCGGGTCTCACGAATGTTCATCAGAAGAGGATAGCGACGAAGAGGTCTCCAGTGGTGTTGATATGGACGAGGGTGGCACCTGCGCGGATTCGGATGGCTCGGTCAATTCAGACCTCGACGAATCACGAGCGAATCTTAGTGATAGCAAGAATGACGATGGTTGGGTCGACGTACCACATTCTTCTGACGAAGAAAAAACAATTTTCAACATTAAAGTAGACCCTTCGACGCTTGCCAGCAAAGCACTTGAGGTTGCTTCTTCTCGCGTATTCACGCAAGAAGAGTTCGAAGTAATGCGGAAGTATCAACAAACCAAGCAGGTGCGTATACATCGTTCATATGAAACTCGGTTGGTACCCACATGCTGACTATGTTGTAGCTTCTTTATACATTGTTTCTTATTGTTACCCAAGCCATTTAATCATACGTTGCACTTATTTCCATTGTACATTTTTTAGTTAGACAATTTCACAAACCCACTTGAACTTAGATCTGTTGTCTCGCACAGGCATTACTAGCTGGCCTCGTTCGGGTTGTGTCTGTGCAGTGTTGTCTGTATTTTCTTACTTCTCACGCGGACATCCTTCGCTTTGTCGGCTAACAAAATTCGTTCAGTCGCTTTTCGGATGTTGCTTTCATACTATCCATCTGGCACTTGGTTTTGTGTTTCATTTGCATTGCTGGGCATCATATTCTATCTCGGGAAAGAGCTTTCTTTGAATACAAATGCAGCTTCGCGACCGCTTTATACGTGAATTTCGTCCTATTGCTCCATACGCCATTCAACTGGATATCCTTCCTTCTGATACGTTTCCTCCTTTCTGCTTCATTTTCGGCACCTATAGAAACGGTTCGCTTCGTTGGGATCCGGCACTAAGCGGAAAGCTGATCAGCTGGAGTCCTTTGAAGTGGATTCGGATGAAGACGAAGACGCTAACGAGGGGCTCAAAAGTCAGCTAGTCAGCCTGAGTGCCATTACCAGGCTTGTGAAGCGCCCGAGACAATCAAAGGCTGAACGCTTGGAAGCCGTGGAGGAGGGAAGAGCAGGACGAGAGAAATACGGCTATAAGGTAATGCCACAGTCATATAGTTTCACCTTGATTTCTCTGCCACGAAACTTTCACACGCTTGTACATTTATTGTATATTCAAGTGCTTCTACCTCTTTTGTCTGTATGCTGACTTCCAGTCGGAATTAAAGTGTAGGATAGGAGCGTGATTGAGTGGTTATGGTTTTCTCAGTTACTGAAGACTCCCTACATACGGAATGAGGTAAGTTTGGATTGAATCCTAAGGGATGCTGGAAATACACTGCATGTGGTCAAATAATACGATTTATCTGCCTTCACAAGTTATTGAAGGTTCTTGCTTCACTTGTATAGCCATCGGCTGCAATATCACGATATATGGGACCGGCAACAATGCAACCAGTCAGTGAATCGGGCTATGTAGTCACTAATGCCGCGCTTCATCTGATGAGAACGATTTGTGGCCTGGGTAGACAGTTGATCTGAACAAGTTTATTTTGTGCACCTTGGCCGGTTTGCAATCGAACAACGATCATATGTCATTTCACCAGTAAACAACATTGTTCCACTCATGTGTGACCTTCGGGTGTCCGAAACATCTCGTGTGCGATTCGAACACGCCAGTTGTAGCGCTCCTCATTGTCTTCCGTTCTTCACTGTGGAGCCTAATCATGGTCCTCTGGTTTATTCGCTCAGTGTTCGCTAGTCTACATCGAGTAATTCACTTCCGTTTACCAACCAATATGGACGTAACTGAGATGTTGTGCAAAATGGATGGGAATTATGCTTGCCACAGGATATTTGTGATTATCACGCGCTTAGTATCGGTTTATTGTGCATAAATTATGTTTAAATTAATCCTTCCAGTGAATCAGCCGCACGGTGTGTCCTAGTTGTGACGTTATTACGCCTTCGTATGGTCGGCTCCACTATTGCGTCACTTCTTGAAGACAATGATTCTCCTATAGAACCGTGTTTTACCCTTGACTCACACAGCTCCGTGTGCACTAGGATGAATTTTTAGCCACCTACTTCGCTCGAGCACGACTTAGCTGAGACTGCGCCCATTCACTATCGCGTTTGCCCTGTATACTCTATTCGTCTTTCGTATAAACAACGAATAAGCTTTCGTTTCTTACCCACTGAACTGAAACTAACGACATGGAAACCCTCTCCGTTCCATGCTAATTTCTCATGCAATCTCCACCTATCGTTCACCTAAGATGGATTCGAAAGCAGTTAAAATAGCAGAACATAATCAACTCTGACACTTTCCAGTGCACGAGGTTGAGTACAGTTGTGGCGCTTCATCTTATTTTCTAGATGCCCGGGTGCTATACATTTGTGAGCAGATGCTGTCTATTGGCGAAAGGAAAGATAATCGCTATTCGGTTGCAAACCGGACCTATGCATACAAACGAAGTTTGTCCAGACGCTTCATCCTTGGGTTTTGGAGTGCCCACTGTGCGTTCGGATTTCGACACGCAATCTGTTTGAGCCATGGTATACGATTGTTGGGTCTTTATCCGAAGTGGATAGTATTTCTGTTGCCTGCTTCCAACACCACACACCACGACTGGTTTTCTCATACTGTATACTCTTCGGACAGAGGTAGCTTGAGCCGAAAATGAGACCCTACGCATATGCTTTTCTTATTCTGGTCACACATCGATTTTAGCTATGGTGGTAGTGGGCCTACTCAGTTCAGTTACATAGTGTGGGACTCAGGGAACAGCTTCCTGTGGACCTTCGTCCAACTTCAGGAGTCGCAGCGTGACTTAGCCTAGTTTGACCCTTATCAGAGTAGGCACGTTGGCTTTGTGATTAAACAACCGAATCCATCGGTTTTTTGCATGCAATTCTGTTGCATTCACTCCACTTCAGCCTACCGTGTTACCGACGATTTGCCGGGGACTTAATTTTGCTGACTTGTACAGGAGTAACCTCATTTATGTGTGTGACCTACTGTTAAGCTTACTGCATTCGTTTTACGAGTAAGCGATGTGGATTTGGTGACTGCTTTGTTTCTCTTCCGAAATTTGGGTCAGAGCATTGGCTTCTCGGTTTTGTGTTTTCTTTGCAACTGCGTTATTCAACTCTGGCGTCTATCATTGTTGCATACACTAATCCACGAACATATACTCAGGCATCATAATAGTGAGTTTTCACTTAGATGCTTTTTTTATTCCCTTATGTCTGCAACTCCGACCTAGAACCTCCATAATAGGCCAATTCACTGCATCCCATTCGCTACAGTGTTGGAAACATTTCAACACATGATCCGCGCCTCGAAGTTACTTAGCAAGCAAGTTACTTTTACCCCATCCCAGGAGTGATATCTCCAATTTGCCCTCGACTTCATCATGATGCATTTGGCAGTTGTTTTGTGTTCTCTGTTTTGCTCCAGCTCATTTGGTCTAACCTCGTACTCACTATTCACACGAAGCTGTTGCAACTTGCTCTAATCTGCTGATTTTGATTTCATTTTTGTTGCTCGCAAATATTGAAGTAGGAACAGCCGATCAGTCCATGTATCCGCTATGCTCCGATAACACATGTAGGCTACCTCCATCAATCCGCTCTGTTTTGGTTATTTAAAACGAGTCAACCGTGCATTTGTCCCAGACATTTAGTGGGCCGAGTGCAGTTGTACTAACTATGGACCTCATCAGCCACATTGTTGTAGCCGTGTTTCTCTGCCCAACATCTCCAGAATCTCCTCGCAGTAGCTGACGTTTTTTATTTAATGCAAGTCTCTCACCTCATTTTGCCCCGATTGCTCGCTTCTCACTTCCAGGTTAACCGAATGAATCCGCACGCCAGCACCACCAATCGTGAGAAATCGAAAAGAAAAGCCTTCCAGATGATAAAACATAAAGTAAAGCAGAAGGCAAAGCGTAGCTTCAGAGACAAGCAAATCGCTTTGCGCGATCGGTTGCGCCATATGATGAAACATATGCACTGAGTTGACAACGATTTTTCCGCTCGCAATTTGTATTTATGCAGTTTCTCATACATAACAAATCGGTATACATTTGTACTATGGCTTCATCTGCTTAGTGGGTGGCACGACATGAATCATGCACTGTCTTATATTGGGATTTATTTGATAGATCTATACTTGAGCAATTATGCTGTGCTCTTATTCATGTAACCTGCCATTCTGAAAGCAGCATCTTTTAGAGTTGTTTTGCAAGTGTACTCTTTTCTGCTCACATCGCCATGATCGTTCTCAACGTTTTATTTTACTTCACTTCTCACCCCGATCGGATAACGAACATGCGTGCTGCTGAGTTGCGTACACTGACCGCTTTTGATCTCATAGGCAACCGATTGGCTTGCATTGATTACACGGTAGATGTGAAACAATACCGCAACAATTCATTGATTCCACGTTCAATCTAATCTCTACGCATCTTCATCAGCTTTATTTTGAACAGTTGACAGTGTTGACATGATCTGTCTTTCCATACGATGCCTCCCACATTGTTCAGGTACGTGGAGTGAATTCCACCGATGTTTAACCATCTATCACATAAGTCACCATGTCAGTTACCACATCCTAGATTCCGACTCTGCTATGAGCTGATTGGAAATCATGAGGAGTATTTGAATAGCGTCCCATCATCACCACTGCTTAGACTACCTGGAGTCACAAAGTTGAAATTGCTTTTCACCGTAAATAACCGTTTCCAATCTTGTTTCTTCATTGCACATGGCAAACACTTCTTTGTCATAGTTATCAGTTTCGTAGTCTATGGTTTTTAGAATCGAGGCTGAACAACGATAATTTGTTTCGTCCGCGACGATTGTTACCTGTCAGTTGCTAGGCTACCGGATAAACCGTATCCGCGTTTCTTCGTCACTGCATAGAAAGCCGATGAACCTTGTGCGTTTCGTAGGCCCGATATAATGTGCGGGTGAGATCAATCTGTGAGCGAAAACCACAAGCAGAATTGCATGCATCTAACTCCATGCAATCAGTTCTGGTGGCCAGAGAACGTTCAATAGGGTAACGAACCAGCAAAAGCTGCGATCACTTGGAAGGTTAGTCCACAAGGCCGATAATGCGCGTTCTCGAACTGGTCACAGCACATTAAAACTGCATCCCTTTGTGCTCACGAATATTTGTATTTGTTCTGACTCTACTCAGCCGATTTTTCGGGGACGGAATACAACTGTGTACTCAAATATGTTGTGAGCGGGGCCTTTAAATCGGCCGTTGCCTTTTCATTGAACATCATTTTTATCTACTGCGGATATAATAAGGTTTATAAGAATCCTTTGACAGCTATCTTGCCCAAAGTACTTTCAAGGTCAACCATACCGATATTTTGAATGCGAAGCCCACATACCGCGTTCTGTTGGTTTTGGCCACGAACATTTGGAATTCGAGAACGATTACGAACAGAGACCTCACAAAACTATACTCTGTCGGCTGGAAAAGACACGAGGATTCTGTTTATCAATTCATTAAGTGCTCAAGAACGCAGGCCCTTTTACTCGAGTGCCACCATTGCGCCCTTTTTGTATCGATTTATAAAGTTTTCCATTTGTCAAGATGTCATTTATTTAATCCGCAGTTGATACTATAAAATGCTGAGAATGCGCCAATCTGGATACCTTGACTTGACTATCCAGTTTTCAACTCGCATTCCTACAACAATGATGAGTATAACGGGCCGATGAAGAGAGAAAATTTGGATGGTACCCGTTGGATGGGTACCATCCAACTGGATATAAATGAGAAAAAGTCATCATGCGAATACTCTTTTTCGGAAAAGTCAGCTTGTTAGGTCAGTGCATAACAGGTGGGAGCGATTGATCGAATATGTGGGTTGCAGTTCCGCGATACATATGGCATCTTTCGAGATCCTCGTTTACGTAAAACCTGGCATTAAACCAAGTCAAACAGTCTGGTCACTTTGTTCGTGCAATTCTATCACCCCACCGACTCCGGAACTTCACTCAAACGGATGCCAACGCTTAGCCATACTCACCAAGGTAGAGTGCCTGCAGTTATTCGAGAGGCCTCACCTAGTCAACATCGGCATTCCTTTTTCTCCACATAATATCCGTGAGATCAGGACACATAGGATACTTGGATGTTTTTCTTTAAATCAAAATAAAATTTGAAATTTTTAACGGATTTTTTTTGCCTCCGCACTTCAAACATGACTTTGTCAAAGGGAGAGCGAATTAAGCTGGTGCTTCCCTGTGGATGTGAAGGATGGTTATATCGAAAGATTTCAGATGTATGTCGAGGAGAATTCAAATTGGTTTTTCGACGGTGACGATTGCGATTAGGAACTCTAGGGAAATAGTCAGCATCATGGACCAATCGCGTCCTGGACGACCAAGGGTATCAGTCAAAAAGAAAGATATTGTGGTGTCTAATATGTATGCAAGTCCCAAAAAATCTATCAGCAGGATATATATGGAGTTTGTTGTTCCAAAATCAACCGTCGGTCAAATTTTAATAAGCATAAGTTTCATCCATGCAGGTTACAAATCTTGCATCACTTAACAGAGGACAACTCTGATGGGCGAATTGAGGTGTGTGGATGGTTTTCGAAAAGCCGGTGGTAAGCATCCATTTCACCCGAAGAGAAAGTGTACTCAACAAAAATCATATGGAGTGAATGTAACACGATTAACGCCGATGTTGATTTATTGCATTCAATTCACAAAAACTTCGCAAAGTGCATCAACATTTGCATTGCAAATGATGGAACTCATGTTAAAGATGTTATTTGGATAAAAAGTTGCATCTTTCTTACAGCGCATGGGAATACATTTTTCTCATGTGTCCTGACTCTATTGAGACTTACGAGCTGTTGTGTCATTATCCGGCTACGTGTTCCGTGCTATGCTGTATCCTAAGGTTGATGACAGATACTACGGGCATCCTCCTCTATGAGTAACTACCTCATTGATCTGTTGCATCAACCTTACCAATGTGCTCATTTCATTCTACAGCTACTATCTGAAAGGATCGTCCAATCCCGGATGACTGTTCGATAGCTGAATATGCGCATTGCACATTGATTTCTTGTGTTGTCATCCTCCCACCAATCTGCACCGAAAACTTTCATGAGAGGCGCTCATTTGAAAAGCTCATGCAACCATTTCCTTTGAGGAATTTTAGACGTGCGGGGCAGACTTCGTTACTCGGGATAGCCAGAATTATATTAAAAGTTTCTCCCTTTTTACGAGATATGTGGGAAAGCATGACCAAACAGTCACAAGCATTTGCAAACAGGCCGATCACGATTTGATCGAAAATTATCGGGAATACTAAAGCTGATACACACATTTAGGAAGAGAACATTTTCCATTTGTGTCAGAACTACATAAGTAAATATGGGGCGATAGACTTAAGCTAAATGCAGTTTATATCGTTACTACGATTACTGGTTCAACCGCTAAATTCAAACCAATTGGAGCTTCCAGAGTGGGCTGAAGATTACTTCACTTATTCTAAATAATAGGCTGCATAAAATGTACATAGTCGATCATCTTGAAAGGAACCAATGCACTGGTCCCCAGCGGTGACATGGAAGAGAAATGACGAGTCAGCAGATAAATGGATAAAAGATAATTGAAGGTAGGTTTCAAGTTCGGTGTAAATAAATAGCAGGTGTAATTCTTGAGATGGACTATAAATTCCTTTTCCTAAGAATCGACCGCAGGGGTACATCAATGTATGAAATAGATGCAAAAGGAACGTACTCATTACAAGTATAAGATTTAGTTAAAGGATTTCAAAGGGTGGGATTTTTCAAATTTTATTGCACTTTCATTCTAGCTTGACAAACAGCTGACAAAATAAAACCTCCAGGAATGGCCATAAAACGGGCAAATGAAGTCTAGAAATGACAATTTGCCTCAATGCAGCAGTAGTAATAGAGAATATGTAGGATCCAGTAAAGGAGGAAACCATGAGAAATGAAATGGCGATAGCGAATAGGGCTTTTGAGGAAGAATGGGGCGTAGGAAATATCTAATTACCAGCATAATGTGAGCAAATGCGTCTCGTGTAGTACAGGCAGTGACACCGTCGGAAGATAATGCAAAACAATCTATATGAAGGCTGCTATGTCAAGGTGTGTGTGGTAGCGGTGGTTACTACTCGCGAAAGGGAAACAAGAGAATCCGTTTTGGTCATTTCCGAGTGTACGCATGGATATCATGATATCATGTCGAATACGTGTGAACGGGTTTCGAAATTCATAGTAGGTGGTATCGAATAAGTGTACCTCAATGTCAGCGATGATAGGGCGAAAGTACCCCATTGTAACCACTGCCGTGCGAGCACATGGGCAGCATATGCTGCAGGCAGTTTTGGTGTATAAGAACTTATTGACGTCAATTTTTAGCAGCACTTGGGAGGAGCAATTTCGCCGATAATCCGCGATCTCTCACCTTCTATACCATTTTCACTTAAAACTGGATGTTTTGTAAACCAAAGTGGATATTGTTCACTTTAAAAAGAAAATCAGCAATTTGTTAGCAAGTTTTGATGAGTAAGGTGACCGGGTGATGTTCAAGCCACATTGTGGTCACACGAATGCAACAGAATTGTGCAAGCAGTAGGCGATTGTGCAAGCTCTTCTCTTGATCATGAGCGTCGTCTCGTCGGGACCTAGTTTTCTCCCTCTCTTCCTAACGGCCTTCGCTTATTTTGTGCGTGTGTGTGGGCCTGTACAGTTGCGTGACTATAAAATTAGTGTTGGACCTTGTGACTCCACCAAACCTAGGAGGTTTGGAGATAGATTCACTCTATGTTTTCCTATGCACTTACGCTGGATGCTAGTGGTACATTGACACCTGTAAACATTGATCATGTCTCTTACCGTGCTTTCATTGATATTGGCTATTTCAGCAGGCTCGCGAATGCTTTCGCCGTTGACAAACACACCCTTGATAAGGATCTCTTCCTACGTCAGTGGCGTTCGCTTGCACCGTCGCTGTCTCGGAAATGCGCCTTCTCATTCTTCCTCGTTCATTTTTGTCGATTTGTGCTAAGCCACGAAACTTATGCCAGGTTTGTTGTAGTCATAACAGCCTACACTGTTCTCGTAGTCGCCAAACTGCGCAGGTTCACACACGCGCACACAATACGCGAAGGCCGATAGGGAGACAAGGGAGAACTAGCTCACCACGTTTACTCAAAGGATAACCACAATCGCAAAATTAGCCAGAGCGCAATGTGGCCTGAACATCACTCAGTCACCCTACTCACCAAAACTTGCTAACAGATTGCTGATTTTCTCTTTGAAATAAACAGTCCCCAGTTTGATTTATAA